AAATGAATAAAGTATATTAGAATTATAATTCCGAAAAGATTGGTATGAGCAAAAGAAACATATGCATTGCAAAAGTAAAAAAAAAAAATGTTGAAACCTATCCTAGTAGCTTGCAAGAAGGAAGAATGAAATGAGTAGTTATTGTAAAACAATAAATCAAAGTGAGAATAATATATACATATGAGAACGATAATCAAAGTGAGAATCTCGGTTTTCTAATCTCTTATTTTCTTTGATTCGAAGTTATTGTAATAAAATAAAGATAAAACAATTACCTTCACTGCTTAAATTCTTCTCAGAACACTTGTTGATGCTTTTTCCTTTGCTCAGTTGCAGCTTTTTTGGCCGTTGTGATGTCTCTACTGCACTGCTACCAGCAGAATCATTCATAACTGAATTATTTAGATTTCTAGATGTAGGTGACTGTTTTTTAGTTGCAGGAGTTCTCTTGGGAACAACTTCTTTCTTATTTGATTCAACAAGAGTGTTTCTGCTTAAAAAATTTGGCTTCAAACTCTTGGCACTTGAAGCAATTGCAGAGTTTTTAGCTGCCTCATCCGATTTCAGGGATACATCATTTGGTAATTGAGAACCATCATCCAAAATTTGCAGCTTCTCAAGATCTTCGTGTATGTTGTAAATATCGAGTATATCCTTTGTGATGTTTTCTAATTCTGCTAAAAGGTTGTGCTTGAGGATATATGACTTGAGTTCTTCACGAATTCGAGACAGAGGCTATTTCAAGTTATGAGCCAGTTAGAATTTAGATAACAAAGAAGAGAAAATATGAAAGGCCAGTTTAGGAGCATTCTCATTGTTGTTTTCATCAATATGAATCCATGAGGGCTCAAAAAAAATCCAAATATGTTTTCAGAAGCTATTTACCATGATATTACAACCTAACTAAACCATGAGCGTACTGAAAAGAATAACATTAACAGAGTCATACCTCAACTCCTGATTCAAGGGCAAGCTTGAAAAAGCCAATCGAAACAGAGTGCTTTGATGCTGACTCCGAAAGTTTGATCTGTGCTAACCAGTAGGAAGCGGAAGATAACACACAAAACTTTCTCCTGTGGATAGATTTTGACGTATCAGCCATAGGTGTGTCACTATTCAACTGAGTGCTCAACCCGCTCTTCTGATTTTCAGATATTGGTGTCAAGTTTCCAGCAGGCATGGCAAGAGGGCTACAATTAGTAGACTTGATAAGGTTTGGGAACCTCTTTGGAGGCTTCACAGATTTTTCTTTCCCAGAAAGATCAAGTTCACTCATGCTCTTGGCCACATTTGGAGAAGTCCTCACCCTGGTATAATCACAAAGTAATCATTTCAGCTGATAAATCTCGCCGGTTCTCTTAACTACCTTGTTGTCAATGACAGCTGCACAATATGCAGCTTTTCAAAGTTACAGACCAGGGAAAAAAACTAGTATATCAGCGAACATTAAGTATTATTCAGTTTCATTGATGTTCTTTACTAAAATCAAAAAAATTGGCGGCTGTTCATTCTTCTGACTCGGCAAATCTCATAATTAAATAATTTCTAGATTTATTACATTTGTAGTAATACCATGAAAACTACTAGATGACCCGATTGCTAAAATGCAACACAATATAGAAATTGCACAGGTATTAATGAGGGGCATAAGAACATCAGATAGTTGTATTGCCAACGATATATATCATTACCATTCATGCACGAAAACAAAGATGAAAGGTGTAGGAATGAAAAAAAAATGTGTTACAAATGCATGATTTCTGCTATCATTTTCACAAAAAAATAAAGTCTGGCTGTAGACCCAAGCTATTAAATGCTTCATGATAAACAAGCATGAGTCGGTTAACCAATTGAAACCATGATTTCTGTCTTCATTCTTTTGCTGAATTTCTTATTGAATCAAAATGTGAGTTTATTTTACTGAGGCATATCCAAGGACATAGCATTCAGAATTTAAGGATGAACCTTTTCATTGGTTTGAACACTCTACTAAGCATTAGTCAGATTTATAAATCAGAAAAACGATGAGGAAACACTCACTTCTACAGCCAATTCTTTTCAAGGATATGACAGATTTTTTTCACTAAATCGTTCAAACGATTAAACCTAATTTTGCTCTAGGACCTCACAAAACGCGTCAACAGCTCTGCATCGAAATTAAAATGGTGGGGATCGTCAAAACAACAAATTCGATGCCAAAGCAAAAGATCAACGAACTTACTTTTGCTTCCAACCGACCAATCACAGTTTCCATGAAATCATAAAGAAACAAATTATATTGTTCATGCAAACCTTTCTCTTGCCCACTTTTTTATTGTGGATAAGAAGATAATTTAAACATACTCTTCCCCTTAACGTCCCCTGTTCTTTTACCCAATATATCTCATTAAGCTATCTAAGGATTCTGCATCTATATGAAGCTCTCCGAGAAAACTAGAGAAATAGCGAAATATATATGCGTTCTTCATCCACGAAATCATAGATTTCATTAAATCTCGAAGAAATCTAATAAGGCATCAATCAAAATCAATGAAATAAAGAAACAAAAATCATAAATAAAAAAAGAGCAAAAAAAACCTTCTGGTAGACGAAGCGATATGCGGCTCCTCATTCGATGGCTTCGCATCCTTCGCCTTGGTCGATCTCAATGGATATCGAAGCAACGATCCCCCTGAAACCCCCACCATTCACCGCCATTCCATCAAACAAAAGCAAATAAGAAAAAGAAAAAAAGAAAAAGAGAGAAGAAATTGTGGACAAAGGAAGTAGTGAAATTTACCAGGAGGATTAGTGGAATGATCCATGGCGGCTTCCATTTCTCTGAACAGCGGCTGCGTCTCGCTTCGTCTTCGAATTGGACGGCATAAAAGGATTAGGAAAAAGCAAAGAAGGCGGGTGGGACCCACATTTTGATTTCGAAATGTATGTAATTTGGGCGGGAAATTTTATGGAGATTTTAAATTTTTCATTAAGATTAAGAAAGGCGTAAATGCTAACGGCTGTCTGAGATGGGAGGACGCGCCATGCGGACCCCGCACTCACCGACCCAGTGACAGAGTGAACAAAAGCCGCCGCCTCCTTTGAAAAATGAGAAATCTACATGCGAAGTGAGGATAAAAAGGACTGAGTTTAGAGGATGGAAATTTTGGATATTTGAACAAAATTAATTACTTTAAATATATATATATATATATATATATATATGACATAACAAAATTAGTTTGATGCTGAACGTGGATACGACCCTAATATATATATATAGATATATATATATATATATTTATATATATGACATAACAAAATTAGTTTGACGATGAACGTGGATACGACCTTACGTCCCGCTTCTCTGTCTCCCAATCACGATGCGACCTACGTTCTCCTATGATTCATCATTCTACCCCACTGTCGACATGAAGGATCTGGCCAACCTATTCCACAATTCCGACGTTGCCGCTCCCACGCTTCTGTAGCTGGTAGAAGGGATCTTTCTCTGCATCCTTCTAATTTTTTGTGTTTTGTCCCATTCTTCGTGTGTTCCATCTAATAGAGACGTAAATTTGGATATAATAAATCTGAATAAGAGTCAGATTTAAAGAACTTGTTTTGTTGTCGATGACCATGGTTCTGTTTGGGGCAGCTGCAGCTTATTGAATAATCTGCTGGTAAGCTAAGTGCGGTGGCTATTACAAATTTTTCTTTTTTTGTAAGCTAGGTGCGGTGGCTATTACAAATTTTTCTTTTTTTAAGAAAAGTCAGACTGCAGTCAGAAAGACGCCACCACACTTAGATATGTGCAGTGTGAAAATGGTGTCTTTACCGTTTTGAAAACGCATAAGCTGTCAAAACTTATTTTACCAAAACAGACAAAGTGTGTTTTCAGAACGCCACCACACCAAATAAGCTGCTCCAAACGGGCGTGAATGCTCTGTGGAAGAATTTATTAGATTTGATAAATCCTATTTAACGCTAATCTCAGTTGCAGCCAAATAATGCCTAGAACTCTTCCACCTAATACATCGCTTTGCCCTAAAACATACCACTCTATCCACTTCCCTTCTTCTCCTATTTTCCCCGTGCACTCTGACAAGTTATACAGCTTGCACCCTGCTACTCTTCTACAACCATGAAATGCTTCTCATCGATCTTCATAGCGTGAGGTTGCTCCAACCCAATTGTATCCACAAAGTGAGGGTTGTCACTCGCCACGAGTCCTCAGTAAGGATATGTTGCTTCTATTGCGAAGAAGTTAAGATCTAAAAAATGGGCGAGGTGTTGAAGCCCTTCTATGAGATGCGGTTGAAGTCGAGGTAGACCATCCAAATCATCTCGGTGACACAATGGATTGGTTGAAGTATTTCATTGAAGGGCTTAGCATATTTAAATGAAAACTAGTCTCATCTCACTCGCTTTCATGGTTTCCTCTTTATTTTTTCACTATGAAAAGGGTTACACTAGCTCACTAGCACCAAAAATTATTGAATTTTCTTTAGGACATGAATCCACAAGAGAAATATTACTAATCTTACTTGTTTAAGGTCGTAGAAAGAAAATAAAATAAGAACACATAGACTTCATGCATTCTTACTTTTCATACAACTTTCTAGTTAATTAGTTGCTACTATAGCAATTCCATCTTTAAGCTTCCATCATCTCAATTATGTTCATCCTAATATTTTAAGATTTCAAAATCTAGCATTTATTTGAGTTTAAAAGTGCTAAATTTTCTTTTAAAAGTTTATTGTTATGTGTTTGGTGAAAAACAATTTTTTTTTTACTTTTAGCCTATGGTTTTGTTGTTTTGCTAATCATGTCATGATGTTTTTCTGTTTGTAGTGCACTTACCAATTGTACATGGAAAACAAGTCAACATGAATCTCAAAAGAATCCAATGGACTCAAAAAATGTGACATGACAATATGGGACCCATTGGGAAAATAACCCATGCGGGTCACAGATAGCTAGTTGTAAACTTAAGGCAGTCGACTCAGGTAGTCAAAGGACCCACTAAGAACTAAAACAATCGGGATCAACAGTCGTGCAACAGAAGCGGGTGAACACCTTTCTAAACTCAAGTTAATTGACGATCTAGATGCCCACCTTGCAATTTCTGAGGCAGGTGAATTAACAACGTCCAACTGACTTTGCGAGATCAACCAATCAACCACACTTGCATCGTTAGCCAGCCTAATGGTCCCCTTAGAGAAAATGACTGACAAGATTGATCACCTCATCCCTACTGTCCAACTCACAGGGTTGATGACCCCAAGAGGTCACTGGGCTCCACCAAAGCCAAATATCAGTAATACTCTATACAATTTCTAATAAAGTAGGAGTATCCATGTATTTGTAAACCATGCCTCCTTTATCTATAAATAGGAGGCCATTATGTGAATAAGGATGAGACGATCTTAGCCAAAAAAAGGTTGAGAAAAGTCAATTTACTCGCTTTAAATTGTTGTTCACTGTCACTATCTTAATCTCTCTCTCTCTCTCTCTCTCTCTCTCTCTCTCTCTCTCTCTCTCTCTCTCTCTCTCATGTTATGCTCTATCCCTTTAGTGTGACCCATAGGGAAAAATCATATTTAACATCCTAAAAGGTGCAGTAAGGGTGGAGTCATGCCATTAAGAAGAAGAACACAGCGTGGAGAAGGAACTCACACAGAGGATACAAAAAATATGAACTATATTAAGTAATTTGTTCAGCAACAAATTCAAGAATTAAGAGATCAGGTGATGGGCCAGATAATGGAGTTAACCAAGTAGTCTCACATGAAAGGAAACAAGTTAATCAGAGACAAACCCCTCGAGAAGAGGAGCTTAGACCCCAAGGCTACCAAGCAGCTTGGGGTCAGAGAGATTTGCAGACCCACACTACGAAGACAATGTCGGGTCTACACCAATAAATAGAAAGCAGTACGGGAGCGTCGAGGCCCATCGCTAGCCAGTGAATTAGTTCTCTCAGTAGATTTCTAACACTGAACCACTAAACAATTTTGAGATTCTTGCATAGGAAGTGTACAACTAGCTGACCATATTGCCTCTTTCAAATTAGCCTTCTGCCTCCTAAGGATTTTTAACATATTGAAATGTCGACAATTCTATACCATGTTGAGAGAGTCAACCCTAGGTGGTTAAACAACTTACCTGTAGGAATGATCAACTCCTTTGTTGATTCCAGAAGGACGTTCACATAGTTTTCTAGCACCCAAAGGCCCGAGAAGAGTGCACAAGCCTTATGGAAGGTTACACAGAGACAAGATGAAAGCTTACATTCCTACATCACAAAAAATAGAAGGAGATGTTAGATGTACGGGACGTGGAGACTAAAGTGACACATGATGCTTTAACCCACTGTTTAAGAGGAGAAAGATTCTGATGCCACCTCAGCTTGATGGAGTTGCAAAGTTTGGTCAAACTATTGGAGATGACCAACAAACATATTACTATAAAAGAAAATGTCATCAACCTCTACCATAAGACCGAAGCATTTGATTGCAACCCATAGAAGAGAGTAACACAGGATGATGGGTAGAGACCAAAGGATGGCCCATGTCTTTCCAACTATCCCTGAAATGAAGGAAATTAGCCACATCAAGATAATAAGGGAGCTAGATGAGGAATTGTCAGCAGCAGCTAGCTGATTTTCATGAGAGGTTGACACACCATCACGGAGCACCAACATCACACCTTTAAGGGTCTTCATGGTTAATTT